AGTGACAGTATAATAACTGGGCTTTCTTTAGAAAATACCCAGTTGCTATTTCTTCTTCCTTGGGTGCTCAATTTTTCGAGTTCACCATTCTTGAACATGTTTTCAACATTTTAAGCAAAGGTCTTTCAGAAAATGGACTTCAACTTCTTGTATGGGCATATGAGTCACTTTTCTTAAGTGTACATCTTCAAATCTGCTGAGGTCCAACTATTTTTCTCCCTTCTATTCATTCAATTTACCTACATTGTAGAGGAATTGTTCATGATATAATGAGGGATTTTCCTTCTTGTTTTGGTGAAAATGGTGTACAAATTGCTGATTCTTCATCATCGAATGCAACTAGGGCTGCCCAAAATCTTGTCACGTGTGTTTATGAGTGTCAATTAAAAAGCATTTCTCGTTTCATCACCATTACATGGACTAAGTATTTGATGGGCCAAGGATTCAGTGTTGGAATTGAAAATTCAACGAAAGTTGACATCAAACCCTGGTTGTTTTCCAAGAGAAAAGGGTTCAAGAATTTGGAGGTAGGCTCTAATTTAATTGACATTTATTGGGATTTATCCTCTGCAAAATTTGGTTTCGGACCAGAACCCTTGGAGAGTTTCTATGTAGCTGTTGTGTTTAATCAAGAACTGATTTTACTTCTTGGGGACTTGCAGAAACAAGTGTACAAGAAAATAGATGTGTCCCCCTTTTCTTGTAAAGCAGTTTTTGTTGCTAAAAGGGAACATATATTTGGGAAGAAATTGTACAATTCAAAGGCTCAATTTTGTGACAATGGAAAAGTACATAATATTCGGATTGAACTTGACAGTGTCGGGGATAAGGATCCATGTTTAGTGATCAGTGTAGACAGCAAAGAAATGATTAGAGTGACACATCTTAAATGGAAATTCAGAGGCAATACTACAATTTTGGTGGAGGGATTTCCAGTTGAGGTTTATTGGGATGTTTATAGTTGGCTGTTTGGTAATGTTATGGGCAATGCAGTTTTTTTGTTTCGAACGCGACTCTCGACAGAGAACGAGAAGTTCTGGACTCACCAGTCTCGTCTTCCTAGTCCCTCTGTATTGAACTGGGATGGTTCCCATAAGTTCAGTGATCCTCAGTTGCAAGATAAGGGATTTTCATTGATATTG